TCATGGCCTTCCGGTTTCCAGCCTGATGCCTTAACCACTACACCAAGCTGGCTCTCAAATGTGATATAGCACTTTAAATAATATTATTACATTTAGCTGCTTCAAGGACTGAATTTAAGGTTTGCTTGTGACATACGTTACAACAACCCACTAAAATAAATGAAAAAAGATCTGTTAAAAGAAATGATGGAATTCTACCACTTTGATTCCCACTTTCAGATTCCTGTCTGATAGCACTGTGACAGGAAATAGCATCTGCTTTGAAACAGAGTATTAGTGAATCAAATACGCTAAGGAAATAGCATTTCCTTATTTCTCTAAGGAAATAGCATTTGGCCACAAAGGCCCATTTAAGTGCAGGAAAACATCTTGTAAGGATGCGACAACAACTTGAATAAAACATCATAATATCCTGTAAATAAACCTAGAGTTAGGGAGGACCTCAATATGAGTGGTGTCAAAGTTATTAATGTTTGTTCTTATGCAGAAATGTGTAAGTTGTAAAAATAGGAAGCTTGTAAAAAAGTAAACATGAATCTATGTGTAATTTTGTATGCAGATGCTGCTGTGTTGTCAGCTGAGAACTTAATAGATTTGCAGTGAATTTTCAATAAACTGTAAGAAGTAAAGAGGAGAATGGCTCTGAAGATAACGTATTGAAGACTGAGGTTGTTGTGTCTGAGAAAGAAAACAGACTGAACAACTGCAAGTTATATGTGAATGGTTAATACCTAGAGCAAATCGATGAATTTGTGTCAGTGGAATATTTATAATGATGGAAACACAGCTGGAGAAACTTTAAGATGTGCAAATGCTGGCAGTCAGGCAGTGGGTAGTATGGGATCCGTCGCAAGGAATGTATGTTTGTTGAAAGAAACAAAAAGGCTATGTGTGAAAGGGTGGTTCGGGTCACTTTGTTATATGGAAGTGAAAGCTGGGTATGTCAGAAGAAACATAAAAGTAAGTTGAATGCAGTGAGAATGAGATACTTAAGAAGTGTATCTGGTAAAACAAGAAAAGGTGGAGCCAAAAGTGAATGTGGAACATTTACTGAATCCAAAGTAGTACATTGGGGTGGTTTTGCCATACAGAGAAAGTAAAGGAGAACTGCAAAACAAATACATAAAGGAAGTGTGAAAGAGATGAGAGGGAAAGGAAGACCAGAAAATTGAGATTGGGTGCAGTTGATGTAATCCTCAAAAAGAAAAAGAGAGATCAGAAGTTCAGAGAATTTCAGCTGTTACTTATTTCAAACAAAAAGAGGAGAAACCAAACTGCTATTTAATAATTACATTCTATTTTTCACCATACAATGGAATAAAACTATACTGTAATCTTATTTATTATGGGATATCCACTGCTAACTTTACCTGGCAATGTAATATTTGCAAATATGGGTTGTCCATTCGTATTGCGAGTAGCTACAAATAGCTCTGTCTGGTTGACAAGGAGACTATCATCTGTCCCAGCATCTCTGAACAACCAAAGATGTTCTAGAAAAGAAAAATAAAGTATCTGCTAACAACTATCCAAGTCATATACATATATTGAAGAGTCACACATTTTTGTAGACACAAAGATTGCTGGAAGAGAATGTCAGTAAGTTATTGGGTTTAGCAAAATCCACAAGCAGCTGCAAAGATGAAGCTTTCTATGGAATGGGAGGCAATTACCAGTATAATAAGAGTGTGGTTAGAACTGCAGTGATGCAAAAATAACCGTGGAGATGCAGTTAATGTTTGTGTGTGAGTGTGTGCCTTTGAGTCAGCCTTGATTCCTGGAGACTGCCTGGAAAGTCCCTGCAACTTTCTTGGCAAATTTTTCAGAAGTGGTTTGCCCTTGCCTTCTTCCCAGGGCTGAGAGAGAGGAGCTGGCCCAGGGTCACCCAGCTGGCTTTGTGCCTCGGGCGGGACTAGAACTCAAGTCTTCCACTTTCTAGCCTGGTGCCTTAACCACCACACCAAATCAACTCTCCAGTTAATTTCTGATATAACAATCACATTAAAAGACTTTTTATGAAGTCATTTGGGTATAAAATGCCCCTTTTGAGAAATATGCCAACTGGTAAAGGGCCAAGATACAGAGTTGTGAATCACAAAGTCCCTTATTCAAATTTTGTACCTACTATTAATTTATCAGGTGGCTTTAGGCAAGTCACCCCCCCACCTCGAGAAATTATTTATTTTATAAATTATTGTAACAAATAGAAGTAGATAATGCACACAAAGCTCCCTGTATATCTGAAAGCACAATACATGTATTAATTTCAGTCTGGATTTCTTTAACTGGCATCTTGCTTGACAAAATTCTTCCAAGGATTTTAGCTAGAACTAGCAGGAGAGTTAATTCTGGTGCTTGATGTTGGGAGGCCCCACCACATATACGCAGCAGTCCTGCAGTGATTTTTCTCGTCATCCAAGCTATTAAGCTCCTACAGAAAAACACTGAATGAAGGCATCATAGTAGAGTATAGTGATGATAGCCAATTTATTATCTCTTCTCTAATTTAAAAACTACAAATGCTAACACTGTATCTGGGATTAATAATGGTTGGGATAGGATATAAAAACTGATGTTTAGCCCAGGCAAGGCAGATATATTGGCAAGTGGGTTGTCTGTCCAGAATAAAAAAGTTCAGTCTGTTCTAGAAGGACTTCCATTTGCCCTAATTATCAAGTCTGCAGCCCTATGAGGCTGATCATAGTCTGTCACCAGAATCCTGCAGCATAAAGGATGGATGAATGAATGAACGAACGAATGAATGTAAAGTACCACCTGCAACTTTATATGGAGTTTGGCCATGCTTTTCCTGTGCCCTGGTTTTTTCTATCCTATGCTAGCAAGCAGACACAGGGAATCTGCAGTCCATGAATCAGAACTGTCCATTTTAGTGGGTGTAACTAGTGAGTCAAGATAGGTAGAGCCCCAGAAAAGAACTGAAGCCTCCTGAGATCAGCAAACTGCTGCTGAACTTCCAGATGATCTCCTGTTTTGGGTGCAGTGAGTGAACTGCTTTTTTGGGTTACAGTCAAGCTGGCACCCTCCTTTTCCTTTCCTCGTTTCACTTCTTGCTCTTGTCAAGTGACTGATGGAAATGTACAAGGCTATGGCATTCAAGTTCACTGTAAGACACTATGACCAATGGCTCCAGGCTGAGAAAAAAGTGTGGCCTGCACCTGGGCAGGGCAGGGCAGGGCAGGGCAGGGCAGGGCAAGGGTGGCTACACTCCTAGAGCTACATCTGTCGAGGGCCTGTTCTCCGCCTGACAGCTTCCTCTGCCACCATCCCTCCTTGCTACTGACAGAGCCCAGGGTTTACTCCAAGCAGCTGGTCATGCTGGCCTTGTTTCCTCATCTTCCTACGTGGAGGGGAAGCCCCATGTAGGGAGGTGGTGGCAGGATTTGCAAGCTTCAAACCAGTGCTTCAAAATTACAGTGGGATCCAGGATCTCTTCTACAAAGGTACCAGCTCAACTGTTCATAAATGCTCTCCATCCAAGAATTATCTACCACATGCCCAGCTCTAATAGGAAATCCAAAGATAACTCAGCTGTCATCAACCATAGCCTAAGTGATCAAAGTGAAATGGTAAAAAAGAACCTTTGTTTGCAGTAAAATGTTATTATTTAATAAACCTATGTTTAATGGCATACTGTGATACTTTTCATTTTCCACTTATGAGAGACTTGGCCCTTGACTAATCAACCAGTCCTCATGCTACATTTGTGACAATTTGAGTTTGAGACCCTTGCTGTACATACATTGTATATGGGATTGGCACTGAAGGCTGCTCAAAAGCTGTACAGGTAGTCCTTGCTTAACAACTATTCTTTCAGCAACAAAGTTACGATGGCACTGAACAAATGGTAGTTATGGCTGGTCCTTGAAGTTATGGTCATTGCAGGACTTCCGGGGGAGATATGGTGAACTGAAAACAGCTCTGTGAAAGTGGAGCCGACGACTGCGGCAAAGACCAAGGAACTCTCCAGATAAGGAGAGGGCAGGAGATCGCCCACTTAGTGCCCTTTAAAAGGCTCTACTGCAGTTGCAAGCAAGATGGCTGAGCCCGTCAATTCCCAGTGCTCAAACCGACAGAAAACTGCTGTCCTGCAGTCTCCTCGCCATCCAGAGCACTGGGAGATGACGGGCTCAGCCATCTTGCTTGCAACTGCGGTAGAGCCTTTTAAAGGACACTACGTTCACAAACCTCACTTTCTAATTACTTTTGGAAATTGTCTATTAACTATCTTAAAGCAATTAGAGACCTTCAGAGTGACAAGTCTGAAAAGTCTTCACTGGGTGAGTTTATCTTCAACTCTGAACAAAAGAAAAGTTAAT